AAGCCCCACAACTGACAAAAAAAAAAAAAAAAGAACCTCAAATCTTAATTCACTTCCTATAAAACAATAATTCATCATAAGTGGCTTTCAGACTATACAAAAACATCAGCGTATGCTTCTGGTGAACGAAAATCTTACCAGAAGTTGCAAAAATCAAATTATATTTTCCAAGTGATTACATCAATATTTCCAGTTCCATATACTCTTCTAAAATTTTGCCCTTCTCCCTCAAAAAAAGTAGAATCCACCTCTCTGAGCCAGGGTGAGTTTGTAATGCCTTGCGAGTAAAGGGCATATGATGCTGTGAGTTTTACAGCTACCTGGTAAAAGGGACACAGATGCAATCTGATTCTTTCTTCCTTAAGATATTCACCCTCTGAGCCCAAACATGGAGTCATATGGTAAGAATTCCTGCCCACAGCTCCACCTAAGGTCTAAGTCACAGAATCAACTGCCAGACATGTGAATGGCAGGCCCTCAAATGATTTCATCCCCATGTTGGTAAGCCATCTCCCATAGCACCAAAGAGAGCTGAGACAAATCTCTACTAAGTTCTATGGAAATGAAAGACTTGGTGGCTGGAAGGTGGCTCAGTGGTAGAGTGCTTGTCTCACATGATGAGGCCCTGAGTTTGATTGCTCAGCACCACATAAGCAGAAAAAGCCGGAAGTAGCGCTGTGGCTCACTAGCCTTGAGCTGAAGAGTTCAGGGACAGCACCCAGGCCCCACGACCAACAAAAAAAAATGTTTTTAATAAAAAAAACAAAATTAAGGACTTGTGTTCATAATAAATATAGCCATTATTTTAGGCCAAAAAGGGAGTTTGTTATGCAGCCATGGTAACCAGAGCATTATCAAGATAAAATATAAGTCTACACACCAAAAGATACCATTAAGAAATGCCACTGACAATCCACAGATGGAGAAAAAGATTTACCAACATATCTAGCTGACAATGGACATGTATCTAGCATAAATAATGCTTACAAATTGAATGCTTCCAATTCATGAGTATGGTAGATCTTTCCATTTATTTACCTCTTCATTTCTTTCTGCAAGTGGATTATGCCCTTTACACTTTTCAAAAGATTTCTAAATATTTAATGTTTTTCAAAATATTATAAATAAAATTTAAAACTAAGAACTCTTTTAAAAGTAGGGAAAAGACTTTAAAAGATACCTCCCAAAAAGATACCTCACAAAAAATGATACACAATGGCTAATTAAATATGAAAAGGGTTCAACATCACCATGAAAATGCAAACTAATTTCATACCCTAGCCTGATTGAAATGGAAAACACTGACAATGTCAATTGCTGAAAGCATGGTAGAGCAAATAGAACCTTCACCTATTGCTTGTGGCAAGTACAAAATGCCATTGCCACTTTAGAGAACTCTTTGGCTATTTCTTATGAAATTAAACAGACAGGATCCAGCAATTTACTACTAGGCATTTATACACACAAAAAAAATGAAAATATAATTACACAAAAAGGCTGGTATGAGAATTTTTATGTGTGTGCCATTCCTGGGGCTTGAACTCAGGGCCTGGGTGCTGTCCCTAAGCTTTTGTGCTCAAGGCTAACACTCTATCACTTGAGCCACAGCTCTACTTCTGGCTTTTTGCTAGACAGTTGGGGATAAGAGTCTCACAGAATTTCCTGCCTGGGCTGGCTTCAAAGTGTGATTGTAAAATTTCAGCTTTTTGAGTAGCGAAGATTACAGGTGTGAGCCATCATCACCTTGGCATGGTATGAGAATATCAATAGTTATATACATAATAAAACTCAGAAACTACCCAAATACAAGAGCATTGAAAAACAAATTGTGGCACTGCCACATAGTAGAACACAATTTAACAATATAGATAATGAACTATTATGTACAATTAATTCATGTTAATGATATGTATATGGAGAAAAAGAGAGTGAGCTCCAGGTACCTCTGGCAAATACCTATAATCCTAACTACTCAGAAGCCTGAGATTCAGAGGATGGTAGTTTGAGGTCAGCTTGTCAGAGAAGTCTGCTACACTCCATCTCCAAAATAACTAGTAAATGACAAGACTGGAGTGTGGCTCAAGTGTCAGAGTGCCAACTGAGCAAATAAGCAAGCTGAGTAAGCAAGAGGGCTTGAGTTCAAACCACAGTATCATCATAATCAAAATAATAATAATAGTGCATATTTTATTTTATTTTTTATTGTGAAAATATTGTACAGAGGGGTTACAATTACATGGGCAAGGTAATGAGTACATTTCTTTTTTGGGGAGGGGGAGGGGTCCGGAACTCTGGGCCTAGGAAGCAGTTACCGCTAAGTGGCAAGGGGATTAGATCTTAAGAGATACAAAAGAAATTCTTGGTATACTCTGTAAACTTTTGATCACATAAGCAATATGCAATTGCCAAAACCAACAAACCATCAGACACCTTACTAGATATAAATGATACTCAAAAACTCAAAAGTTGTTTGTCTAAGCACTGTAGCATATCAAGGCTCAAGCAGCCTTAACAAAAAAAGATTAAGCACCAACCTTTCCTATGGACCACTAGCCCCCACGACGCTCTGTGTCACAGCAGCGGACCACAGAATAGAATACCACCAGGAAGAGAAGCCCAACACAAGGCAGTCATGGGGCTCACCAGTAGGTTACAAAATGTGTCTACACACAAGCAACCTCTCAGACTGACCAGAAATACTAGTGTAAGCAGAAAACTTTAGAGGGGAGCAAGGCATGAGTTATGCAGATGGGATATCATGTGACTTTCTCGCTATTCATTTATAGGCTGATGGGTCCATTTGAGACAGAAACTTTAAAAGCTCAAAAACTGAACAATGACACTGTGTCTTTACTAGATGTAGTTCCCAAGCCACCACCCCACCTATACCTTCTACTACCTTATAAGTGACAAGTTCTAAAACTCAGCCCCACTACACTTTACCAACACACATATAGCATATTTTCCCAAAACTTCTGATTTCCATTAGGCTTCTTGATAACTGTTACAATACTTGTAAGTTCATTTACAAATACAATTGAACTCATTATATATCTGCTCAACAGGTAGACAAAATTAACAGGTGCTGAAAATCGAAACTCTAGCCAAGTGCTAGTGGTTCACACCTACAATCCTAGCTACTCAGACTGAGATCTGAAGATAGAGGTATGAAGCCTGGCTAGGCATGAAAGTTCATGAGACTCTTAACTCCAACTGACCCTGCCAAAAAAGCCAGTAGCTCAAACGGTAAAGTACTAGCCTTGAGCAAAAATGCTAGCAGACAGGACCCAGACACTGAGTTCAAAGCCCTAGCTAGAACTGGCATTTTTTTAAATTGAATTTCTATTGGGGTTGTCATAAATATTTTAATAAATAATTTTAAATATTTTTCTTCTACTTGGACATATTTTTGGGGCCAGAAAGACTTGGATTCAAATTATCACTCTCAAACTCAAAGTTATGTGACCTCGAGGAAAATAACAAACTCTCTAACCTTCAGTTTCTCATCTGAAGAAATTTCTATGACAATCTACCTCATAGGCTAGTCAAGGATTAAAGAGCATATCAATGAAGACCTTTAACACAGTTTATGCCACACAGTCTGTGCTCAGCAAATGTTAGAATTAATCAGCAGTAAGACAGGCTAAACAGAAAATCTCGGACTTAAAGTCAAAAAACTTAAGTTCTGATCTTGTGTTGCCACCTCTCACATGATTTAAGCAGGTTAACTCTCTGAGGCTTTTTCCTTTCATATAAAACAAGAAGGTTGAATTTAGCAATTCAGTGGCTCCCCTCCCTCCCTACCCAGTGAGAATCTCTCCCACCCCCTGTCCAGATCTCTAGCCTGGCAGGAAATGCCCAAGAATGGGTATGTTTATCCCTCTACCACTACAATGCAAACTGACCCAAATGCCAAAGAGACTGACCACAGCTGCCACTCCCTGCTGAGTAGAGAAAAACCTAGGAAAAGAATGACAAACAGAAATCGTGAGCGTATTGAGCTAAGGATAGCCTCTTCCCCTTAAATTGCCAAAATGAGTCAAAACTGTACAAATCCAAGCAAAGAGGCCTTTATGGCTGGAAGGGGAAGGAGGCTTTCCCACGACTCTTTCTATCCCATTAGTCCATCTAAGTCAGCTCCTTAAGAGACTTTCTTCAGCATCAACAAGAAGGCTACTAACCCGTCACCTTGGTTCCGGCAACCCTTCTACCAACCTATCCTTAATAACACTGGCAGCGCTAGTACACACTGCCTGTACACACTGCCTCATGCTCAAACTCCTCTTCTGGTTCCATTTACCCTTCTACTCACAGTAGCCCCCAAAATCTTCCTGTCCCTGAAACCCCAGATCAGTTCCGATGGTTTCCACTAGGCCTCATTCATGGGTGTTCAGGTGAAGGAAGGGTGCTCACTTTCTAGACACCTTCAAGATGAATAACTCAAGCAGCTGCCCATAAATCTTTTTTATTCTCTGTTTTCTATTGGAGAGAGTGAAAGAAGTTGGGGGGGAGGAGAAGGGAGGGAAAAGAGAGGGAGAGAAGAAGGAAAGGAAAAAAAAGGGAGGGAGAGAAGAAGGAAAGGAAAAAGAAAGGGAGGGAAGGAGGGCCCTAGACTGATATTCCATATAATTTACAAATACTCACACCCAGACATTTATTTTACTAGTCCACCATACCTGATCTCCCTGAACATGCCCATGCCTAGGTCTTTACTCATGTTCTCTCTGCCTGCTCTTTCTGGACCTGTGATGATCAGAAATGTATGATGTGACCCATCCTTGGAGATTACTTTAGATGTTATCTAAACTACCATGCTTAAGTTTATACTCCTCCCAGAGCCTTTAGCACCTTACTTTCCCATAGGACTCTTAGACTCTCCCTGGCATTTATGTCTGTCATCAGTGCACTTATGTTCATAAGACTGTGGAGGACCGAGACTTGTCGAGGCCCTGTAGATCAGCACTGTAGAACATAGAAATTACTAAGTTAGGGACACTTACTTGTATAAGACATGCCAGCATTGAATGGGAAGCAGACACAATGATATCTTGAGTCTTTCCAGTTCTAACTCACCAGGAGCCTGAAAAAAAACTGAGAAAGCTCCTTAAATGCCAGATCTCCAGGATGCCTTTGACCACTCACTTCACCATTGCATGGTCTCACAATTAATATTTTGCAATGATAATACATCCATAGCTCAAAATGATTTTCTTTCTAAAGGAAACAAAGAACAAAAATCTCACCTCTTAGTTATCACGTGAGTATTCAGTTAACACTTCCATTAGCTTTTTGTATACTTCCAAATTTTTATGCAAATATAAATATATGTTCTTAGATTCTGTTACCCCCGAAGTAGCTTGCATTTGGTTGTTTTAGCCATTGATTTGTGAGGTAAATTGGCCTGGCCAGCTGCAGTGTGATTGCTAGGTGAGGGGCATGCATCAAAGTTCCTTTTAGGTCCTAATCTGGCTGGTGTGGGGCTATACACATTAAAAAAAAAAACTTAAATATGTGCTTTTTTTGGTTGGCTACCTTTCTACAACTATTTCTGTCCTTGCCTGGAGCAGAAAACATGTGCTCCACCTAGATCTCCAGACTCTCACTTCCTCACACATAGCTTAGAGATTAACCTGAGCTTTAAGGGCACCACACACTTTTCTACATAGACTACAAGGCTCTAGCCACCTTGGCCACTCAGTCTGGTGAGAGAGAAGTCAGGGTCAATGGCAGCCAGATCAAGCCATGCAACCCTGAACAAGATATCTCTCTGTGGTCTGATTTCCTCTTCTCTGCGAAGTAAAGACAGGGAACAGGTGATTGTCAAAGGTCTGCCAGCAGCAGCATATGCAGGTTTTTCTGGCCTTGACTACTGTGTGTATGAGGTGTGTTTGTGCCTAATTTTTCATGAACGATACCTAAGCAATTACCTTGTTCTGTGTCTCCTGGCCTATTGACCCTGGCAGTGGAGACACAACCCTTTTTACAGGACAAGAGGTCCAGCAGATGTCTACCCAAAGCAAGGCTCCACTCTTGCTGTTACGCCAAGAGAGACCTGAATAAGGGCTTCGCGTTTCTCCAGCCCTGGACCCCCAGAGGCCTGAGGATACACCTGGGGAAACCAAGCTACCCATCCATGCAGCCTCCAGGGCCAGCCTCTCACCCCATCCTCCAAACAGGTGGCCCCAGAATGGGGAACTGTGTGGTCCCTACCAGCCTATTCTGGGGAATTCCTCCCGATTCTGCTCTGCCCCATTGCCTCTCAACCTGCTTCCACCTGCCTTGAAGGGCAGGAGGCTCTGAGCTGAAGGAACTCCTCAATCATCTGCTCCATTCTCAGGGTGTCCAATTCAGAAACTGGGGCCAGAGAGAGGAAGTTGCTCACCGGGGATCCACAGCTGCTGGAGGAGAACTGTCTTCAAAGGGTAAGCCACTCAACCAGTCTCAGGAAAGCCATACCTAACCACTTGCCTTCTGAAGGCCTCATCTGTAGATCCACAGAGAGGCAGGCACCCAATTGAGATGCTTCTTTTGGGATACGGGGTGGGGAAGCCAGGGGACAAAGCCAAGCAGATATGTTGCATAGTCTGTTGTGGCAGGAAGGCTGGTTGGGTGATTTGGTGCTCTATCCCTGTGGCAAAGGCTGGCTGCCTGCCTGTTTCTGGATACATAATGACGTCTCTATGCTTCTCTCAAGTAAGAGAGGGGAGGGACAGCTTTGTCTTCAGTTGACCAGGATTCAAGCTGGAATGGAGATTGGACTTGGATTCAGACCAAAACCTGCTAAACATGTTGCTGCTTTAAGGGTAAAGAATATCAGGGCTTGTGGAATTTTATCCTCTGTGAATGGCTCTACTCTTCTATTGCCTAAACTTTCCCCTACTTTTGAAAAACAGCTTAGAGCTGCCTTCCATGACTATAAATGACCCTACTCCATTTTCTAAGTAGCTTGTAGAATTTCCTTCAGAAGGCACCAGGGAGCAAGGCATTGTGGGATGTCCTGGGTTGCTTTTAAGAACATGCATGTGCACATGGGCATATGACCAATGGCTGGAAGTCTTTTCCATCTTCAAGTGTCCTCTGAGTCCCTGACCCAGCAGCATGCACAAAACATGCACAACTTACAGTGAAACTAATCACACTATTCTTGAAATGCTTGATTCTCCTGTCAGCTGACCAGGGAACCACAGCAGCACCTCAACCAGTTCCAGAGAGAAAGAGCACAAGGTGGCAGAGCTGTCCATTAGGATCGAGGGTTGGAAATCAGCCTTGAGTTCTATTTTGGTGGCCTCTAACTGATGGACCAGCATGACACAGAGTAGCACAACACACCTGTACTTCCTATTTTCCATCCACCTTGTCCACACACACACACACACACACACACACACACACCTGTTCCTTCATTTTCTACCTTTGAAAACTGTTAACACTCAGTTCTTCCTCTACAGAGTAGCATATGGGTCATTTATTTCAGGGACCTTATGGACTTGAGTGAAAATCCTGTACCATCTACACACCTGCCACTGAACCCCTCCCTCAAAGACTCCCTCCAGCTCTGGGGATAGTTAGATAAGAGCAGTTCCCCATCCTGAAGAAACAGCAGCAGTCAAAATGAATGCCACATATCGCCAATCTCACCATGGCCCTTGCCGATACTTACAAAGATCTTACAATTTCTGGACAGTTCTGGTCAATAATAATCTTGGGAAAAACTTAATGCTCAATTTCTTTTTTTCCTGTGATTTGTGGCTTTAGGTCTCAAGACCCTTGAGTCAAAACCAGGTAGTAGGTCTAGGACTGGTGGCTTTCTCCAGCTGGCCCCCTCCTCAGCTAGGCCTCAGCCTGAGGCTGAGGAAACCCCTCTGGCCGTAGCTAAGGGTCTCACAGTGACATTAACTCAGCCACATTCCACACATGCACTATTCCTTCATAGTGGTTAAGCCTGTAAATCCATTATTTATGATGCGGAATTGTACAGCATGTGCAATGTGATGCGGATGTATTAACGTCACCATGAGAAACTTAACTTTTCAATATCTTTGTTTGGGGAGGCACAAATTTTACAACTGTAACAATGCTGTATTGCCAGATATTTTGTATGTAGTTATTTTTCAGACATGGTTCAAAATGATTGGTGCTTTCTAAATATAGCATTTCCCCCACCTGATTACACTGAACCAAATTTAAAATGGCTTCATCATTTGCATCCAAGTTTGGGGTTTCTTACCCATAACCTTTGTTTCCCCACTGCAACACTGAAATCAACTCTAACTGACCTTGTGAAACAAAAACACAGAAGGCATCTCCATTGCAGAACAGAAAGTCCTAGGCAAGCACCTGCAACCCTTTCTTTGTTGGTTACAAATAAGTAGATGAGTGAGGAGAAAGAGAAGATATTTCAATGTCCCCGCTCCAGATTGGAGATCCAGAGCTCTGTATAAAAAGAGAACTCACTCACCTTCTCTGGGCTGAGTCTCTGCTCTTGGACACAAATATCCTCCAACATTGGCAGGCATTGGTGTTGACAACAGAGAAAAACAAGTCAAAAGGACTAAGGCAAAAATACCCGATTAACACAGCCCTGTGTTCTTCCTGCATTGTGCTGGTCTAGAAACATAATTCTCTACCCTCTGGTACCATAGTCTGAGGAGTTAAGAATTTCAAATTCTCAGCTATATTGAAGGCTTCCACATCAATTCAGAAGAGGAGACATGTTAACAATTGATTAGCATTACTTAATAATTTTGATATATGTCCTATGGGCTTCCTTTCTATTCTTTTTTTTTTTTTTTGGTCAGTTGTGGGGCTTGAACACTAGGCCTGGGCGCTGTCCCTCAGCTCTTCAGCTCAAGGCTAGCGCTCTACCACAGCGCCACTTCCAGTTTTCTGGTGGTTTATTGGAGATAAGAATTTCATGGACTTGCGCTGGCAAGATGGCTCAGCGGTAGAGCACTTGCCTTGCATGCCTGAGGCCCTGGGTTCGATTCCTCAGCACCACATAAAAAAAAAAAGAATTTCATGGACTTGGGGCTGGGAAGGTGGCTCCGTGGTAGAGCGCTTGCCTTGCATGCATGAGGCCTGGGTTCGATTCCTCAGCACCACATAAGCAGAAAAAAAAAGCCAGAAGTGGCGCTGTGGCTGAAGTGGTAGAGCGCTAGCCTTGAGCTGAAGAACTGAGGGACAGCGCCCAGGCCCAGAGTGCAGGCCCACGACCGGACCCAAAAAAAAAAAAAAGAATTTCACAGACTTTCCTGCCCAGACTGGCTTTGAACCATGATCCTCAGATCTCAGCCTCTTGAGTAGCTAGGATTACAGATGTGAGCCACCAGTGCCCGGCTTCTACTCTTTCATTCCTCTTCTTTTGTCAACAGCCTGGATGATCATTTTGCCAAGCACATACTAGACCACAACCCCACTGTCTCCTTAGTTCCTTCCCAGGATGGCACTCTCAGCCAACCCTTCTAAATTCTCCCATCCTTCCAAGTCTCATCCAGCTTCCCCTCCTCCTTGAGCCCTCCTCTCTTCTCCCTCTGATACCTTGGTCTATCACCAACCCCTGGTCTCTTGTACACCATCAGTGCTCCTAGCCTGTGCCATCAGCCCTGCCCTGGAGAAAGACCGTCAGCCACCTAGTAACGTATGCCAGCTTTTTTCTCCACTCTTACAAACGGGGCCCCTGTCTATATATCTGTGTATTCCAAAAAATGCCTAGCAGTCTAGCATTTACAAGTGACACCATGAATATTGACTAACTTTTGAAGGAAGACTCCGTAGTTACAATCAAAATTCTAAGGGGCTGGGAAGGTGGCTCAGTGGTAGAGCACTTGCCTTGCATGCCTGAGGCCCTAGGTTCAATTCCTCAGCACCACATAAGAAAAAAGCCGGAAGTGGCACTGTGGCTCAAGTGGTAGAGCGCTAGCCTTGAGCTAAAGAGCTGAGGGTCCAGAGTTCAGGCCCCACGACCAGACCCCCCCCCAAAAAAATTCTATATGCACTTAGCTTGTAACCTAGCAATTCCACTTCTAGACACTGAAACAGGAGTGTGGAATGGCATTGTAACATTATTTTATCTTTTCAAGCAAGTACAAATATATATATATTAATATATAGTCTATACTATAGATTACATATATTAATACATAATATTAGTAATTATTATGTATTAATATATCAGCATACACATTAATATATACATATTAATATATTGTATAATATATGTGATACAATATATACAATATAATCTTATATGTTATATAGTATATATAACATAAATATTACATACATACACCAAGAGCACAGATTCAGGGCTTTCACAGTTTGAATTTCCATCCTGGCCCCATCTGCCATTACTTACTTCTGTAATTTCAAACAAGTTACTCAGTGCCTTGGTATCTCCATTTC